TGTCCTTACTTCCTCTGATGTAACAGTTATTGTCTATCCTTACTTCCCCTGATGTAACAGTTATTGTCTGTCCTTACTTCTTCTGACGTAACAGTTTGATGTGGCTAAGAGGCTTGTAGAGCCACCTCAGGAAAACAGTTAAGAGTCAAGCTTATTATGACAGAATTGGATATTTTACTAACACAAGCTTTTCAACTTCCAAATTATCAAACTGCACAGTGGGTTTAGTATCATCGATAATTAGTCCAGCCCTCTGTGTAAAGTAAATTATACCTTTAAGGATATTATACACAGTCTGGTCGCCACACTACCAGAAGGATGTGGAGGCTTTGGAGGGGGCACAGAAATGGTTTACCAGGATGTCACCTGAATTAGGAAAAGTTTCTATAAATATATAAAATGAAAAAGAGTGGCTAAAGTAAACGTTGGCCCTTTAGAGCATGAGAAGGGGAATTTAGTTATGGGATATGATGAAATGGCCGAGGCATTGAACAGGTATTTTGTATCGGTCTTCACAGTGGAGGACACTAATAACATGCCAGTAATTGACAAAGAGACGAAGGTAGGTGAGGACCTGGAAACAATCATTATTACGGAAGAGGTAGTGTTGGGCAAGCTAATGGAGCTAAGGATTGATAAGTCTCCTGGCCCTGATGGAATGCATCCCAGGGTACTAAAAGAGATGGCGGGAGAAATAGCAGGTGCACTGGTGGTAATTTTCCAAAATTCACTGGACTCCCAGCAGATTGGAAAACAGCAAATGTGACGCCACTGTTTAAAAAGGGAAGTAGACAAAAGATGGGGAATTATAGACCAGTTAGCTTAACCTCTGTAGTGGGGAAGATGCTTGAGTCTATTATCAAGGAAGAAATAGCAAGGCATCTTGATAGAAATTGTCCCGTTGGGCAGATGCAGCATGGGTTCATGAAGGGCAGGTCATGCTTGACAAATCTTTTGGAATTCTATGAAGACATTACGAGCGAGGTGGACAATGGGGACCCAGTGGATGTGGTGTACCTAGACTTCCAAAAGGCCTTCGACAAGGTGCCGCACAAGAGGCTACAGCATAAGATAAGGATGCATGGCATTAAGGGTAAAGTGTTAGCATGGATAGAGGATTGGTTGACTAACAGGAAGAAAAGAGTGGGGATAAATGAGTGCTATTCTAGCTGGCAGTCAGTGACTAATGGTGTGCCTCAGGAATCAGTGTTGGGACTGCAATTATTTACAATTTATATAGATGATTTGGAGTTGGGGACCACGTGTAGGGTGTCAAAGTTTGCAGATGACACTAAGATGAGTGGCAAAGCAAAGTGTGCAGAGGACTGTGAAACTTTGCAGAGGAACGTAGATACATTGAGTGAGTGGGCAAAGGTCTGGCAGATGGAATACAATGTAAATAAATGTGAAGTCATACATTTTGGTAGGAGTAATAGTAAAAAGGATTATTACTTGAATGGTAAAAAGTTGCAGCATGCTGCTATGCAGAGGGACCTGGGTGTCTTTGTGCATGAATCACAGAAGGTAGGTCTGCAGGTACAACAAGTAATTAGGAAGGCAAATGGAATTTTGTCCTTCATTGCTAAAGGGATTGAAATAAAAAACAGAGAGGTTATGTTGCAGCTGTACAAGGTGCTGGTGAGGCCACACCTGGAGTACTGTGTGCAGTTTTGGTCTCCTTACTTGAGAAAGGATGTACTGGCACTGGAGGGGGTGCAAAGGAGGTTCACTAGGTTGATTCCGGAGTTGAGGAGGTTGGTTTATGAGGAGAGACTGAGTAGATTGGGATTATATTCATTGGAATTCAGAAGATTGAGGGGGGATCTTATAGAAACATATAAAATTATGAAGGGAATAGATAAGATAGAAGTAAAGAGGATGTTTCCACTGGCAGGTGAAGCTAGGACAAGAGGGCATAGCCTCAAGATTAGAGGGAGCAGATTTAGGACTGAACTGAAAAGGAATTTCTTCACCCAGAGGGTTGTTAATCTATGGAATTCCTTGCCCAGTGAAGTAGTTGACGCTACTTCAGTCAATGCTTTTAAAAAAAAGGTAGATAATTTTTGAACAATAAAGGAATTAAGGGATACGGTGAGAACGCGGGTAAGTGGATCTGAGTCCACGAAAGGATCAGCCATGATCTTATTGAATGGCAGAGCAGGCTCGAAGGGCCAGATGGCCTACTCCTGCTCCTACTTCTTATGTTCTTATTAGAAGGTATTAGCTCTACGGAGAGATTGGGAAAACCCAATTTGTTTTCACGTGAACATTATTGTAACGGCCCATGACTAAAGTTGACAAGATGGTTGCCAGGAGATTTTTAGCTGACACAAGATGGCCGAAAGGGGTTAGCAACTACATGTAGCAGATGTTCACAGTCAGGCGTGTGGTTTTCGCTCAGACTTACTGGATAAGATAATGAAAGGTCCTGTGCGGGTCATAAATGGGTCCAGTTGGGAAAAGACAGGAGATTTTAATTGGATTTCTATAGGCCAGCAACTTTAAGGACACAGCATTTTTGATAAGAACACATCCTTGAAAAACCTAGATAACAGACATCTAGTAACAACCAGATGTTGTTACTAGATCCCACAATAATCTAGACTCTTTGGGTAATTATCATCACATATTGAACATACCCATATGAGTATTGTGAAATGCAACCCACAAGCATCTATGCAGAGATTTAGTTGAATTTTTATGAGCAGCCAACTATAAGCAGGAATAAGACCCTCCCTCAATAGCAGGCAAGATGGAGCAACAAATGGTGCAAACAGATAACTAAAACACCACCAGCACAGGAGGGAGACAAAGGAAGGGAGACAAAAGAGAGGTCACGACTGGGGAGAGATAAACAATTGAAACTTAAGTGCAGATGTAGATAATCTGAACAAATTCTTACATCCAAAGATCAAAGGAAGAGTGATAGAGACAGATTACAAAATACAGAGTGAAGATGTGGTTATGTCCCCTAATTATTTGCGGAATCTAAACAAGTTTCATTTAAAGACTTGGTAAAGTTGTGAAGTGATTGAATTTCACCCTCATCAGTGGTATTCAAATAGATGCTTTCTGTAAAGAAAATTGGTAATGGAAAGTTTTTACGGTAGAAATAATAAAAGATTCATTCAAGAATTAAACTCTGGTTTAAAGCTCACTTATAATATGAGAGTAGCAGGGATTGTAATTGTAACTGTTTGTTTGATCTCTCAGGCTGAAGTGAGAGAGGGGGTGTTCCCAATTTGTCAGCTGTGTCACAGAATTGGAGTCACTTTATTTTAGAGTTGATTTTAAAGACCTTATAACAATTGGTAGAAATTAATATCCTTCCTAATCTCCTGCAGTAGAGTTAGTAGAGAATTTGGAAGAGTCTGCAGACGTAAGCAAGTATTTGGGTTATTGGAAAATAATACGGTGCAGCTGGCAAATGTCTGGATGCTTTGTAAGATCCCAAAGACAGATGATAGAGGTATCTGGTAAACATCATAAGATTATGGGAGGACTTAAGGCTGTCTATAGAGATATCAATCACTGCTTGTGTGTTTGCTGGATTGGATGTATAGAGTATGGGGATGTGGCTAACAATGACATCAATGTTGCATGTAATTATTGTAAAGTGAAAGGTATACAAATGTTGTATTCGTTTGCAGAAAGTAACATTGTCATTGACCTCTCCTCCAATCTCAGCTGTTATTATGAGGGCAACATACCTGACTGACAATGTCCCAGACACCACCATCAACATCCCTGGATATGTCCTGTCCCTCCGGCAGGATGGACCCAGCAGAGGTGATGGCACAGTGTTATACAGTCACGAGGGAGTTACCCTCAGAGTTCTTAACATTGATTCCGGAGGTGAAACATGGGCAAGGAAACCTCTTGCTGATTACCACGTGTTGTCCTCCCTCAGCTGATGAATCAGTATTCCTCCAAGTTGAACAACAATGAAGAACTGAGGGTGGCAAGAATGTAAAATGCACTCTGGGTGGGGGTTTTCAATGTCAAGAGTAGCTCGGCAGCAATACTACTGATTGAAATGGTCAGTTCCTAAAGGACGTAGCTGCCAGATTGGGAAGGTGGTGAGGGAACCAACAAGAGGGAGAAACATTATCTCATCCTTACCAACCTACTGGCTGCAGATGCATCTGTCCATGACAGTATTGGAAGAGTGACCACCACACAAACCTTGTGGAGACAAAGTCTCGCCTTTACATTGAGAATACTCTTCATTGTACTGTGTGGCATTATCACCATGCTCAACAGATCAAGACTGGGCATCCATGAGGTGATGTGGGCCATCAAATGCAACAAAATTGTACTCCAACACAATCTGTAATCTCATAGTCCAGCATATCCCAACTCAACCCTTACCATCAAGACAGGGGATCAACCCTGGATCAATAGAGGGTGCAAGAGAACATGCCATGAGCAGCGCCAGGCATACCTGGAAATGAGTTGTCAACCTGGTGAAGCCACCAAACAGGACTACTTACTTGACAAACAGTAAAAGCAGCCAGTGACAGAAGGAGCTAAGTGATCCCACAACCAACGGATCAGATCTAAGATCTGCAGTCCTGCCACATCCAGTTGTGAATGGTAGTGGACAATTAAACAACTCACTGAAGGAGGTGGCTCTACAAATATCCCCATCCTCAATGATGGAAGAGCCCAGCACATCAGTGCAAAAGATAAGGCTAAAGCATTCACAGCAATCTTCAGCCTGAATTGCCAAATGGATGACTCATCGTGGCCTCACCCAGTGGTCCACAGCATTACAGATACCAGTCTTCAACCAATTCTCTTAACACCGCGTTTGATATTGTTTGATACCGGTTGGAGGCACTGGATACTGTAAAGGCTATGGGCCTGACAACATTCCAGCAACAGTACTGAAGACATGTTCCAGAACTCGCCTAGCCAAGCCATTCCAGTACAGTTACAACACTGGTATCTGTCCAACAAAGTGGAAGATTGCCAAGGTATGTCCTGTACACAAAAAGCAGGACAAATCCAACCCGGCCAATTACCGCCCCATCAGTATCCTCTCAATCATCAGTAAAGTGATGGAAGATGTCATCAACAGTGCTATTAAGCAGCACCTGCTCAGCAATAACCTGCTCAGTGACACCCAGCTTAGGTTCCACCAGGGCCACTCAGCTCTTGACCTCATTACAGTATTGATTCAAGCATGGACAAAGGAGCTGAATTCCAGAGGTGAAGTGTGAGTGACAGCCCTTGACATCAAGGCTGCATTCGGCCAAGTGTGGCATCAAGGAGCCGTAACAAAACTGGAATCAATGGGTATCGGGGGAAAACTCTGTCAGCACATAGGAAGATTGTTATAGTTGTTGGAGGTCAGTCATCTCAGCTCCAGGACATCGCTGCACGAGTTCCTTAGGGTTGTCTCCTAAGCCCAACCATCTACAGATCAGAAGTGGGCATGTTCGCCAATGATTGCACAATATTCATCACCATTTGCAACTCCTCAGACACTGAAACAGTCCAAGTTCAAATGCAACAAGATCTGGACAATATCCAGGTTTGGGCTGACAAGTGGCAAGTAACATTCGCACCACACAAGTGCCAAGCAATGGCCATCTCCAATAAGAGACATTCTAACCACCACCTCTTGACTTTCAATGGTGTTACCATCACTGAATCCCCTGCTATCAACATTGCTGGGGTTACTATTGACCAGAAACTCAATTGGACTCGTCACATAAACACCATGGTTACAAAAGTGGACCGGGGCTAGGAATACTGCGACGAATAACTCACCTCCTAACTCCCAAAACCTGTCCACTGTCTACAAGGCACAAGTCAGAAGTGTGATGGAATACTCCCCACTTGCCTGGATGAGTGCAGCTCTAACAACACTCAAGAAGCTTGACACCATCCAGGACAAAACAGCTCGCTTGATGGGCACCACATCCACAAGCATCCACTCCCTCCACCACCGGTGCCCACTAATAGCAAGTATGTACTATCTACACAATGCACTGCAAAAATTCACCGAAGGAATTTGCTCCCTAAAGGCATTGTGGGTCAACTAACAGCATGTAGACTACAGCAATTTAAGAAGGCAGCTCACCATTACCTTCTCAATGGCAACTAGGAACAGGCAATATATGCTGGCCAGCCAGTGATGCCCACATCCCTCCAGCAGATTTTAAAAAATATATGAATAGACAGGAAATAGACGTATATGGATCACAAAGAGGGAAAAGGTTTTAAGTTTAGAAAGGTATCATGTGTCTGCGCAGTCTTGGTGGGCTGAAGGGCCTGTTCCTGCGCTGTACTGTTCTTTGTTTTCTGTATAACTACTGAGTATCTGCAAAGGAGCATTGTCAGTGACTTCAGATCACAATGAACTGGAGCCCAGGTCGTGGGGCTCTGGGTGAGATGTTCTCTCTTACCATCTGATGTAAACAGTTATGTTCAGTAAAACCTGTCACAGTTCATTCACAAGAGTGTAGAGCCCACATTACTGTACGCTGTCATTCCAGTCATATAACTTTTATACCATCATACACATGGGACTGAAATCAGATATATGCAGTTGAAAGTTAGTGCTTTATAGCTTTATAAATATGTAGTACCACTAAACAGATCAAAAACAATTTCCTTCCATTATGTTTAATGTCAAAAAAGAATTCATCAGATTGAGTTATACTGTACCTCCTCATTGCCCATATCTGTTACTTCAACAGTTCCTCCCAGCCTTTCGATTGTCTCACCCACAACATGCATCATTCGAATCACCTCATCCCTCTTTGTTGGAGTGCCTGATTCACTCTGGATTGCTATCCATTCTTTTAGATGCTGCAAATTGAAATTGCTGCATTATTATGTACTTAACACAACCAAATGTGCTTCCTTAATCCAAGGGAAAAAAAACAAGCAGTTAAGTATTGCATCCATGAACATCGCAATACATGGATGGTGCTATTTTCCCAGGTAACAGTGATGTAGACTGCTAACTTGGTTTAGGGTGGGCTGGGAGTAATATTCCCAAAAGAATTGATAAACAACAGTAACAAATTATAAAGAATTAATGGAGAAAAAGGTGGCGTGGCTTTCCATCTTTACGCAAATTCATAAAATCATAGGACTCTATAGAAGCCATTCAGCCCTTCTTGTCAGATCCTGCTCTTTGAAAGAGTTAATGGCTTAGTTCCATTTCCCTCCTCTTTTCTTGTAACCATGTATTTTTTTTTATCCTTCGCAAGTGCAATAAGAACAGTTGTGTCCATACAACCCCAAAATCTTTTCCACCATTTAATTAGATCATGTCTGATGTTTACCTGCCTTAATTTCATATCCCTTGACAGCTTTATCCAGAAAAAAAGCAACCACTTCCACTCATTAAAAAAAGTATGCCCTGTTATTCTTGATTTTCACTATCAGAAAGAAATACTATTTCTGTATCTAGCCTTTAATGTTTTAAACACTGTGATCAGATCACCCTTCAATCTTCTATATTCAAGGTAATACAAGTCTAGGTCTATGTAACCTGTCCTCCCTAAGTTAGCCCTTTTAACCCAGTTTCTGATGAATCTCTGCTGCACCGACCCCCACAAGACCAGCATATCCTTTCCTACAAATGGTACTCAAAACTCAAACTAGTCACTCCACATGGAATCTGAGCAAGGCCCCTCAAACCAGACATGTGACCACCATTAAGTAAGTGTTGCACTTAACTTTTTAATGTGACATTAAATTGAGGCCACGTCAAACCCACAGGTGGGTGGTCCTATTTTGAAGAGGAGCAAAGGAGGTAATCCTGATGGGCTAGCAAATATTTAGTCCCTCTAGTCTGGTCATTAACATATTATTGTTGGGGAGTTTTGCAGTATGCAAATTAGACAATGATCACAGTTCAGAAAGTACTTCATTACTGTAAAGCAATCCAGAATGTCCTGAAGTCATGAGATTAACTGAATGCAATTTTAATCAAGAAACCAGAGAATTGATACCTATGTTTGAGATTTTTTTCCCATTTTAACTCTTCCAGCTGGACATCCATTGTTCCTATATCTGGCTCCAACAAGAAACCTTCCAAATAGGACAGATGTCTGTCCATCACATCTTTAAAATATGATCAAAGTTCCCTAACCATTACATTATATTCAACTAAACTCTGGAGCATCATGGTTACACTAGCAGAGATGATGTTATCCAAATGATACGATGTCCAAAGCCTTCACTTTGTCCAATCAATCTAGCCAAATTCAACCCTGAGAAACCTAAGCATCCAGCTGTACACAACTCGACAGGCTTTGTTTGCTAACCCCTTTCTTTCCCCAAGAACAATTGAGGACAAAGCTTAATCTCTATACCCCTTACGGACTCATTTAATGAAAACCCATTAAGCATTTTTTTAAAAATCAGCAATTGCACTCATTGTGGACCTCCCATGAAAATTCATGAGTGAAGACTGTGGAGAGAAAACTAACAAAGTAGCATGCACCAAAAAAAAATCAGTAATAGAATCTAGTCTAGCCCAATTCTGACAATTCCTTTCTGGAGACCTTACCTTGACATAGTCATCCTGATGTTCATCAATATATTGCAACACCTGATCAAGAGGAGATGACGCTTCCATCGCAAAGTGCAAAAGCAAACTGAAAACAATGAGTGTAATCTGTAAAAAATGTTGCACCGGAGAATTAGGATGCAGGGTAATGCTGCAATGGCTTTTGTATAAGGTATTTTACATATTTCCATTGTCAGAAATCATATTAAAAGGGAGCAAAATGGAAGCATATTTACTAAAATAAAAAAAATTCCTGTAAAATGTGTGTTTAACAACACTGCTTCAGTATCACAAATAACAGCATACATTAAATAATAACTGGCTAAGTATATGAGGGAGGAAGGAATAGAAGGATGTGCTGACATTAAATGATGAATGGAAAAAAGCTCCTGTTAACTATAAACACCAGTACAGACTAATTGGGCCGAATAGTCTACATCTGTGCTGTAAGGATGGATGTAATAAATTTCTCACATAGTACAGATTTGTTATTATTTCATATTCAATGCTTTTCTAATGTTCGTAAATCAATTTTATCCATGATAGGCTCCTGCAAATTATTACAATACCTAAGCTGCGCAAGTCAACAACTGTAATTCTGGACATAAAGTGCAAGATACTGCGGACACTGCAAATCTGAAATAAAGACTGAAAGTCCTGGAGAAATTCAGCAGGTCTGGCAGCATCCATGGAAAGAAAAACAATTAATGTTTCAAGTCCGTTTCTAGCGTTAAAAGTTAACTGTTCCTCTCCCCTGAAGCTGTCAGTACTCCTGAGTTTCTCCAGCACATTTTTTTATTCGCTCTAGTTTATTTTGCACTGTTAACACAATTCAATTTTTATCAAAAAAAATTAACTGATAGGGGGATGATTTTAGGAAATGCAACCGCGCACGAAAAAAATACAATTGCACCAATTTTTTAAATTATTATTTTCTTACGAAATAAATAAAGTAGAAACACAATAATACCTTGTAGTCGAAACGTACTAAGTTAACACTATCCCATTGAGAATGTTTCCCTTAGTATCACTCAGAAAGGAAACAAAATTTATTTTTTTATCATAACACAGTCTACCAAATCTTGCAGCGGTTTGCAGAGCTGTATGTTTTTAACAGCCAAGAAACTAAATTGAACCTTCGGTTAAAAAAGGATAAGTTCTTATTTTATAAAGTTGGAATAACTACACATTTGAAAAGCAGGATTGGCCTAATATTTCTCACCTTAGGAGTTTAAACACGGTGTCCAGAAATAACATTGAAAATTATTACCTTGTCACAGATTGTGGTGACATTTCTTTAAGCACTCAAAGGAACGTGGAATCAATCATGGAAGTTGAATACAAAAGACAAAAGACGGATGAAAATGTATAAAATAGGAAATTAAACAAAGACGTACCATGTTCACATGTTATTAGCAGAGTCAATGAAACGTAATATCAACCTTGGTCTCTGCAAAGTCTGCCTGGCGGTCTCTTTTAGAACGCTGTTTTTCAGTCTTCGAATACTGGAAGCCAAATTCGTTCACTGAGAACAGGCACTTAACAATTATTCAAACTTTTACTACCAGTTATGTGCTGGCACTAAACAGTCAAAATATCGCCAAGGAAAATAAAACACAGGAGGCAGCTTTGTGTGAATAATACATTTAAAGGGGCCCAGAAGAGGGTGTATGAAAAGCATATTATTTGCAGAGATAGAAGGTCAGTCGTATTGTCTTAATTATTCTTGTGCGTGACTGTTGTGAATTATATGCCTTTATGCGATTTATTGCATCACTTGAAACGTTCTTCACGAGTTTCCTTTTTTCATGAACTGCCTGTTATTTTAATCTGGCAAGAAAAGTTACTTCACAAAACATGAAGTTACATGTTATTTCCAGTTGGTGTCACCGGATACCATGTAACTCACTGAAGTCGCGTGCAATAAAGCTTTCATTTTGTACAAGTTTTGGTTTAA